GTTGAACATGTTTGTTAAGGTTTGTGATGCCGATGCGGAGCAACCCGTGCTCAACCACCTACCATAATAAATCCGTGAGCAGAAAACGGAATCGGTCCAGCGATGGCATGATCTCTTCTCGGCAAACAAAACACACAGTAGCTAAGTGTTGAACGCGCACCAGGCCACACACGAACTTCAGCGCCGACAAACAGACACTAATTGAGGCGGAATATTAGGCGAGTCGATTTAGGTGGTCCAGAGGCTGAGGTACTTAAGACTTAAGTCACTCGAAGGCCGGAAGGCGGAGCCAGCCGCTGTATGCGAGCATCTGATTGGCTGGGACGCCGATCGTTCATAAAGGCGGTGATCTGAAGTCAAGAGCACGTCGGAGGAGGTTTATTTTTCCCGATCTTAAGATAGATGAAAATAATGTAGTCATCTGCTCCAGGTTCGATTTGGGTTATGAGGGAATCGCGAAATAAATTTTGTTTATTTATGTTGCGCCGATCGGCTCGTAAAAGGAGTCACCATAATACACAAGTATCGAAATATTGGATTGATGGAGTTTCATAAATATTTACAGGGTTTAACAACCGTGTTGCTCGCTCACGGTTATTAAAATCGGGGAAATGTTTTGCTGCGATGCGTTTCTCATGTTACTGGCAAAAATTTGTCAAAAAGTCCTGAAAGTGGAGCAGCAAAAAGAAGCCGAAAGCTAGTCTGAAAATTTCCATCCGTTGTCAAAAGGAAAAAACCCATACCTAGTGCTACCTATTTTTCAAACCCATACAAATAATTGCAAAAAGTTAGGTTTCTTTTTCACATTTCAATCAGTGAATGTATGTTTAGAAATTTGTAATAATGCAGAACCTCCGCAGCCAGCAAAACACATTTAATCATGTGTACGCACAAATGACTTGCAGAAAATATTTTTTCTAAGACGCCCTAAACAGCCGAAAAACCCACTAGCTCAATAACTGCATTCATGGTGCAACCAATGTTCGTCCACGTCAACTACGGTGGTTTCCATGGAAACCAAGCCAGTTTGTATACTGGATGCGATTTGTTTGCACCATGGCTGTGCTTTGTTTTCAGTTAGAATTAACGAAAATACAGGGTGTCTCCTAAGCAGACATTCTTTGGCTTCAAAGAGGACAATCTGACGTAAGTTTTATTTTAAAAAAATGTCTGGCTCCACTGCTACTGATGGTCAAAGTTCTTGAAAAATTTATTTTTTTTCGAAATATCGGGATGATGGTTTCGATAGATTTTGATAAAACTTGCTGTGATTTTTTCTATGTAAGTTTTGATGAAGCAACCGAGTTTATCCGCTTTGGGTAAGTGGTGAAATGTTGAGTGGCTTGGTACGAAAACTACCAGAACTTTTTATTTGGAACTTTTATCAACTAATTTTTTTTTGAACTTTTAAGGAAGCACTAATCCTTTTTGAACATTTTTGGGCTCTTTGAAAAATATTGTAGCATTCATGGTTTTTGCGCAAAAAATGATTTTGGTTTGCTTGCTTTTTCACAACAACAATTTCAGACATCAATGCAAACGTTTTAGTAAGCGAGAATGTTCTTTTATATCTAATAAATTAATTTTTTTTTAAATTAGTGCGCTTTCTTTAATTTTACGGTTTTTTTGCAGATTGTTCTTTTGTTAAAATTGTGGAATTTTTCCATTGAATTTTATGGCAATTATCAAATGCATGTTGACAAATGTGTGATTTATGATATTCTCTGTTTTTTATGTATGATTGGTGTTCTTTGAGTCTTTTGTGTAATGGTCTTGAGGTTTCTCCTATATAAGATTTATTGCATTTGCAAGGAATTTTATAAATTACGTTTTTCGTATTTTCAATTATATCATGAGGTTTTGTTACTGAAATTTTACTTCTAATTGTATTTTCAGTTTTGAAGATAGTCCTAATATTAAATTTTTTACC